CAAATCGAACCGTATAATTAACAAAAATCCTCCCCCCCCAAGTTCCACAGCTCCCTCACTGCCCCACGGACTTAAAGCGCAATCTCTCCCAAGAGCACGAGGATCTGATTGATTATCGATTTACCACAGCACTGGTTATCCTATAAGCTTTAGGATGTAAAACTGGTTATTGAGAGATTCACAGGGCGGTTCAAAATCAGGTGTTCAGGGCGATCTAGTTGTTTCTAAAGCATATATTCAGGGTTTCAGTAAGTGATGCAATAAAACAAGCTTATTTTGCTTATTAAAAAATGGCTATGAGAGGGAGAATTTTTTGGGGCGAAGAAAGAGTTTCAATGACAGCGAGAAAATGTTCAGAAGGACAGGCAGGTTTAAAGAGATCGAGAGAGGTTCGGATAATTAAGATAGGAAATTGGGTTACTCCCCAAACTTTTTTTCTTGATAGGTAGTTTGGTTGAACCTTAGACAGCAGTTATACAAAGGCCGTCATCTATTTTATTTTGTCTAGAATCTCTAAAGTGCCAGTTTATTGAAGAAGATGGAATTGAAATGGCTCTCAGAAGTTTTTATTAATTAATTCACGTTTGGATATGAATGTTCAAATTTGTTGCCATTGTTCAATGTTTCGGTATACGAGAAAACCTGTACTTATCCTTGGACTCTCATAAAGCAGTTAAGTTAATAATAAGCTTAATTCATTGATATTGTTAATTGGTGCTTTAGGCGCGTGCTTTATATTTTATGTTACTGCATCATAAGCTAATCATTATTTGGGAAATTTTTGTTCTCCGTGATCGCTGTCAAGACCCTAATGGCGTAGATTGTTATGAAAGCGCTAGTTCTGCAGCCTTGTTGTCTTGCTACTGTTTGTTATTTTAGAGCCAGTTTGCAATACGGGATATTGTGCTTGAAGAAGTTGAACTATGACCGAAATCTTTTGGCGGAAAAAAGACAGTCGTGCGAAAATTGCAACAAAGGTAGGACGTTGCCTAATAAGGAATTGACAAATTCGCCATGGGCTTGGGGCATTGTTTTACCCGTGTCTTTCGTCTCTTTAATTGTAGATCTGTTCGTATGGTCGAATGAGCGCGTCATGCGATGGGTCGAATCGATTAGTCTCGAGTGCTATGCGGAAAACCTGCGGGAGTCAGGCGTTCACGGTGCTCTGATTGCCTCTGATGACACGTTCGACGTAAACACGTTCGCGTTGGTGCTGCAGGTTCCTTCCAACGACTTCCAGTCGAGACAAATCTTGCAGCGTGAGTTCGAGATGTTGATCGTTTCACTGAAAGAATCAAAAGTCGCTGCGACGCCCTCCACTGAAAAAGACCGAGCCTCGGCTGCCAGCCAAAGTTCAGTACTCAGCACCGCAGCTGGCAGCGACGGAGCAGGTACAGGCAACAAAGATCTGACGACAGTTGCACAGTCGCCCCAGCAGCAACAGCAGCAGACGGTCGGCAGATGACATGCCTCCAGAAACAGGTGACGCGCGATTACATTTATTCCGTTCGTTTCTTGAACACTTGCAATGCATCTGCCGTCACTCTTCACATTAGTCCTGGCTGTCCAGTTGTTCATCTCCTTTTCTTTGACGCATTACTGTCGCCATTGCGCTTCATCTTTTCCATCGTCCATTCATTGGTTTGGTGTGGCATTGTTGTTAATTGCTGTCGGCTTTGAACTCCGCGGGTGTGTAGTTTGATTCTG